CGCCCCAAGGGGATCTGGACCTGGGGAGGCAGGAGGAGGGTGGATCCCTGTCTCAAGGAAGGTTGCCACCTGCTTCTCTCTCCAGCTGGCCCCGCTCCTGTGCCTTTCCCAGCAGCAGCCATCTGGCCATGGGGAAAGGAAGCCTTCGCCCTTTGGTTTTAATCCGCTTTTCTGCCCACAGGAGCCTCGGCGGCTGTCAGCGCTTCGTCCTGGGGCTGGTGCTGAAGGGCAGAGGAGCAGGGCTGGGGCAGGTAAGTTGGCAACCCTAACCCCGACCCCTCCCCCGATCAATATTCCCCCTATCTCCTGCAGCCCCTCCCTCTTCTCCTGCGTTGACCCTCCCCAGCCTCCCATGCATGTGCACCCCCGGCCCCCCCAACAGGCGACCCTCCCCGCCCCTTACCTTCCACGCAGCGCGATCGTCCGCCAGCTCCACTCTCTCGCTTTGCAGCAGCAGCAGTGACTCCTCGGAACTTCCTGGTTTCCCCTCTGCGCAGGCGCGTCTCCTCGAACCGCCCATTTCCGTACTTAGACGCCCAATGGGCTCGCGTCCTCTCCTCCGCTCGGGAGTCCGAGTCGCAAAGGGCTCTGGGAGTTAGAGTTCTGGAGCTACATTTGGCGCAGCTCTGCGGATAAGGGCAGGAAGGCTTTTTTTTTGGGGGGGGGAAGGGTCCCCCCCCCCATCCTAATAGAAAAATAGAAGACCATCCTTCTTTTTTTTTCCCTGGAATTTCTCAATAATGCAGGATTCTTTTCTGGAAGTTGCATCGCTTAGGGTTAAACATTCTGTGCCTCTGAGCATATGCAGGTAGTCCTCAAGTTACGACCGCAATGGAGCCCAAAATTTATGTTGTTAAGTGAGCTTTGTTCCATGTGACGGTTTTTCTTGCCACATTTCCTAAGCGAATCCCTGCAGTTGTTAAATTAAGAGCATGGATGTTAAGTGAATCTGGTCGCAAAAAGGGATCGCATGAACCCGGGACGCTGCGACCGACGTTAGAGTTGCCAGGTGTCCACTATTTGAGCGGACAGTCCGCTTTTTTCACATTATGTTCACTATTTTTTTTTCACAAAATAGTGGACATTTTTTTTATTCAAAAGCTTTATGATGAAATGGTACGTAATCTAAATCTGTACAGTCTAAGAGAATAAGGATAGGAGAATCGCGTTTTGTCTTTTTTTTCATAAGTTAGAATGAGACAAAGATCGAATATCCATTGAACTCGATTCTCTGAAAAAATTATTAATCAATTGTTTCACAAGACATTTAATAAAAGTATATAAAATTATTTACATACTATTTTTCTTAACTCACATTTACCTATTATTTTTATATTATACTGTTTTCTTAGTTGGATAGGTATGTCAGTAACGCTAATACGTGTTAAAATGTTTGTAAGAAAATATATAATTTAATTGTAAAAAATTGTTTTACTTTTTTTACTACTTAACCCCCCCCCCCCCGCTTGTCCGCTATTTTTTGGAAGCAGACCTGGCAACCCTAGCGACCGTCAAGCATCCATTTTGTGTAATATTCTCCCTTCTTATTTCTGGGAACGTTGTGCGGCGCTCTGCTGTTTCACAAAAGTAAGGCAGAAAAACGGGGGGCAGGACACCCCTGCCATTCCGCCTGTCCTTTGAAAATGGACTTTATTTCCTAAGTGTGTATTTCTTGTCTCTTGTTCCTCTTCCAAAGTCCTTCCTCAGGAATTCAGACACACCCAGGTTGCCTCTTTACGACCCTTTGAGTCATTAATCTGGCTGAAATATCGCTTGGAACCGCTTGGAATGATGGCATCCATGGTCCACAGCCAGACCGGGAGGGTGCTGCTGGTTGCAGCCTCCAGATCTTGCCAAATAAAGGGAGACGATTTCATTTTGACCTCTATTGTTCTTATCTAGCATTGTCTTTTGAGTTAGTCATGAGCTTATCTTAACTTAACCTTCTCTTGCTTCTTAAACCTTGGATTACTTTGGTACCTAGTCATTGTCAGAGAAGATCCATGTAAGTCTATCATGATTAAAAAAAAGAAAGGTAACCTTACCTTGTCACCTTCTGGGAGGAGGGGGCTCCGTGGTATCCGAAGCAGAACATCCGGATTCAGTCACAGTTTTGTTCCATTTTGAGATGTGTGGACTTCGGTTCCCAGAATTCCTCAGCTAGTATACAACTTTAAGATGTATGGACTTCAACTCCCAGAATCCCCTGGCCAGCAAGTTTAAGATGTGTGGGTTTCAACTCCCAGAGTCTCCCAATCAGCAACTGAAAGTTGCTAAGACTGATAAATACTGTTCTACGCTGTTTCTGACAGATGCCACAAAATATTTAGACAAAGAGTTAGCCAGGTAAGACCGAGGGGTGACACCTGAGATATACTAGTAATTGCGACTCCCTCTTTTATATTTCAGGGTCCAGAAATCTGGATGGAAAAGCGAGCTGAAGTTATATATTTTTTTTTTACTTGGATGGGGCCTTAGATCCGCATCTCATTTTTTTCCCAAGGAGAAGCATGCAGGTGGTGAATCATTAAAAGCCGGAATTTAAAAGGCTCATTTCAAAACCTAGTAAAAAATCAGGAATGCAGAAAACAAAGCAATATACAGGTATAATAAATCCAGGGGTTTGTTTTTAGTGCTTGCCTTCCTGCCCACACCTGTCACCTGTCACCTGATTATCAGGCGGCACGCAGAAAAAAACTGCTATAAGTTTTCTTGGCAGGTTGTACTGTGGCCCTCGACTGACGATCAAATGGAGACAAAAAATTATGTTGTTAAATGAGATAGTTAAATGAGTTTTGCGCCATTTTACGACCTTTCTGGCTACAGTTCTTAAGGGAGTCACTGCAGTTGTTAAATTGGTAACACAGTTGTGAAGTGAATCTGGCTTCTTCCCCAATGATTTTGCTTCTCCGAAGGTCGCAAAAGGGGATCACGTGACCCCAAGACACTGCGACCGTCATAAATAGGAATCAGCTGCCAAGAATTTTGATCACGTCACCAAGGGGATGTTGCAGCGTGCCGTAAGTGTGGAAACACAATCATGACTCCCTTTTTTCAGTGCTGTTGTCACTCTAAACCAGGGGTAGGCAACCTTGGCTCTTTTATGACTCATGGACTTCAACTCCCAGAATTCCTGAGCCAGCATAGCTGGCTCAGGAATTCTGGGAGTTGAAGTCCACGAGTCATAAAAGAGCCAAGGTTGCCTACCCCTGCTCTAAACAGTCGCTAAGTGAGCTGTTGTAAGTCTGAGGATTACCTGTATTAAAATTTTTACAGGTCAGGAACCGAATCCTGCCAAGTACACAGCAGCCTTTGTGTTCCTTTGGGACTTACCAAAATTGACACCAAGATTGGGCAGCGGATAATCCACCAGTAACCCAGGTTGTCGTTTCTCTCCCAGCACCTAAAAATTAAAAAAACGAAATAAAAATAAAAACCCACAATTTAGAAGGAAGAAGACAATTTATCTTACCGGAATAAACCTTATTTTCCCAAATGGGGTATTTTAGTAAATCTGGCAGGACTTAAAAAAGAAGGAACTTCCAGGCAGCCGTAAGTCTACTGAGAAATCTTTAATTTGGCAATTCAAAAGAGGCACTTTTGTTCTGTGAAAACCACACACGGCTCAGCTAAAAATAAAACTCGGCTCCTTCCCCTCTCCTTCAGAAGAATTGGTTATTCTGGGATGTGCATTTAAGCAGATTAAATAGAGTCATTAATTAACTGGCAGTAACAGGTCACTGACTCACTGGGTGGACCTGTGGATTTTTACCATAATAAATGTGCTGGGTTGAATAGCAACGGTTCCCAAACTGATAATATAGATCAGGGGTAGGCAACCTTGGCTCTTTTATGACTCGTGGACTTCAACTCCCAGAATTCCTGAGCCAGCCGTGCTGAGGGGAAAGGGAGAGGTTTCCATGCTGAGCCATGCTGGCTCAGGAATTCTGGGAGTTGAAGTCCATGAGTCATAAAAGAGCCAAGGTTGCCTACCCCTGATATAGATGGTCTCTACTTACAACAGTTAGTTTAGTGACCATTCAAAGCTACAACGGCAGTGAAAAAAGCGACTTAGGACCATTTTTCACAGTTACGACCTTTGCAGCGTCCCCCTGGTCACATGATCCAAATTCAAATGCTTGGTAACTGTCTCATATATATGACGGTTGGGGTGTATGGCTGGCAAGTTCTCTGTAACCACTCTGCAGGCTCCAGGTTATTTTTTCCCTGTCAATTCCTGTCTGTCCATCTATATCCTATCTATCCATCTATTTATTCATCCATCTCCTATCTATCTATATATCTATCCATATCCTATCTATCCATCCAACCATCCATATCCTACCTGTCCATCTATCTATCCATCTATATCCTATCTATCCATTTATTCATCCATCTATATCCTATCTATATATCTGTCCATATCCTATCCACCTATCTCCTACCTGTCCATCTACTCATCCATCTGTATCCTATCTATAATGTAATGTAATGTAATATAATGTAATATATAATATAATAGATTCTATATCCTTGTCTAGGTATCCATGCATCCATGCATCCGCCCACAACACCCCTGTGACGGTTGGACTGAGAGAGGGACCGGTTCAAATTCAGGTAGGGAGCTTTTGTGGCCACAAGGGAACTATGGTGGAACTCGATTCTGGGTCTCCCCGGTATCCCTCCAACACTTCATAATGGTAGAGCTGTGGTGCTGAGCCTGGTGGCCTTCTTGCGGGCATTTCGTGACCCAACTAGGCGGCATCATCAGTGCCAGGCTTGCTGCCCCACAGGCACGGATGCTGTTACCTAGCTGGGTCACGAAACGTCCACAAACCCACGGAGCATGCGCAGACTGCGTTCCGGAGCTCTCGCAGGCCGCCTTAAATGATAGCCTTCTGTTGCCACGGTGACCACAGCAGCTCAGCCGGCGCTTCGGATTGGCTGGCCGGGAGACGTCCGGGTCGACGCGGCTGCGTCGCGTCATGTGACCGGCTGTCATGGCGGCGCCGCTGCGGCTGTGTCGCGGCGTGGCTCGGCTTTGGCAGCAGCCGCTGCTCCGCCGAACGCCGCCTCGCCGGGCCGGCTCCAGCGGCGCCCGGAGCCGCCTGTACGAGCACGCGCGGGAGGGCTGGGCCTCGTGGCCGCGGCTGGACGTGGTGGGGCTGAGCGCGCGGATGAGCGAGGCCGAGCGGGAGCTGGAGGCGCGCAAAGGGCCTCTCAAGGCGCCGGAGCTGCGCCAGCTTGTAAGCGGAGCGGGCGGGGGGTGGCCTGGCTGGCTGAAGGGGGCGGGAGGGCGGGCGCTGGAATCTCCCCGGCTTCGGGTGCCTGGCCCCCGACGGGTGGCTTAAAACGGTGGCCGGTGTCCTCCCTCTCTCGCCCGCCTTTGTCGGTATAAATCGGTGTTTTTCAGCCTCTGCAGCTTTAGGAGAGGGGGGGGGACTCCAACTCCCAGAATTCCCCAGCCAGCAGGCGTTAAAATGTGTGGAGTTCAGTTCCCAGAATTCCCCAGCTGGCTTGCATCAAAATGGCTGGAGTTCAGTTCCCAGAATTCCCCAGCCGGCTTGTATCAAAATGGCTGGAGTTCAGTTCCCAGAATTCCCCAGCTGACAGGCATTAAATGTTTGGGTTTCAGTTCCATGGAACTCTCCGCCAGCCTGCATTAAAATGTCTGGATTTCAATTAACAACCCTGTTCCTAACTTAACAACTGCAGTGATTCTCTTAATGACTGTGGTCGTAGAATAGGGCAAAACACACTTAACAAATTTCTCACTTAGCAACATAAATTTTGGGCTCAGTTGTGGTTGTAAGTTGAGGACTATCCATACCGTGATCTCTCCTTTTGACTAATGTGGTTTAACCCTTGTCATTTTCTTTCTTCCTGTATCCTAACCACCAGGTTACTGTTTGGGAGAGACTGAATCAGGTTCAAGAGCAGATTGCAAAACTTGCCGCAGAGAAAAACAGAGTGAGAACAGAAGCGTACAATTTTAAGGTGAGTGCCTGTGATCGCGACCACTCTTGGAATAACCCCTGAATTGATTATGGGAAAATATGTTAACGAATTCATACGCTTCTATGTCTGGGCATTTCTCTTCAGAGAAGAGAAATTAATTGGTCGCTTTTCGTAGTTGTAGAATGGACAAAAATAGCTTTATATCCTTGGCTGATAGTTAATTATTCACAATCATTACATTGGTTTGTTTTATGAATAACCGTCCACTATTTTTTTTTTCTTTGTAGCAAAGCCATGATGAGAGTACTTTACAGACGGTAAGGAAGTTTTTTTTTCTTTCCTTTTCTCCCAATGATTCTGGGCGGTTACAGATTAAAAACAAATTAGAAAGAAGGGGGGGGGGAAATGAAACTAAAAATAGAGAATATTTGCTTCTTTCTTCTGTGAATTCTTCAACATCTTTCCGCCCTTTTCTCTCTCCCACCAGCTGCCTGTTTACAATGCCTTGGTGAAAGAGGGTGGGGAAATCCGTTGTCGCCTTCATGCCTTGCGCCAGGAGGAGATCGAGTTGCAAGAGAAATACTATCTGGATGCCCTAAAGCTGCCCAACCGGATTCACCCTGATGTGGTAAAGAGCATGAAATAGAGAAGTAAATGTTGGTGTGTCTAGGGCAGAGGTAGGCAACCTTGGCTCTTTTATGACTGGTGGACTTCAACTCCCAGAATTCCTGAGGCAGCCGTGCTGAGGGGAAAGGAAGAGGTTTCCATGCTGAGCCATGCTGGCTCAGGAATTCTGGGAGTTGAAGTCCACCAGTCATAAAAGAGCCAGCCCCTGGTCTAGGGCTCTGTCAGGCACGGAAGATCAGATCCAAATCAACTGATTTATTGCTAAAAAGCCAATACAGTAGTCCTTGACTGAAACCATTTGTTTAGGGACTACAGTTACAAGGGCACTGAAAAAAGCGAATTACAACCATTTTTCATACTTTCATGCCATTACAGCATCTCCGTGGTCAGACGATCGGATGCTTGGCAACTGATTCATAGTTATGACGGTTGCAGTGTCCCGGGGGTCATGCGATCCCCTTTCGCGACCTTTGGATAAGCAAAGTCAACGGGGGAAGCCGGATTCACTTAACAACTGTGTTATTAATTTTAACAACTGCAATGCTTCACTTAACAACTGTGGCAAGAAAGGTCGCAAAATGGGGCAAAACCTCATTTAACAACTATCCCAGCAACAGAAATTTGGGGCTTAATTGTGATTATAAGTCAAGGCCTACCTGTACACAGGAATCTTCTCGACTAAGAGTAGCACCTGCTTGGAGTCAGAAAAGAGTTCATGGAATTCGAGGGGGGGTTGGACTTTGTTTGTTTGTGGCTACATAGGGATTCTAGGTTGATTTCTCTTTTAACTCCACCCCCAGCTTCTGTTACTCTTTCTATAAGCTCCTGTGAGGGAGGCAGTCCAAATTTCCTGAACCCTTACTATAAAATTGTTGCAGAGTCCTCTGGCTTTGGATTCACTTAGCTTAGGCCCGGAGTTTTTCGAGTTGGACAGAAATAATATTTGATGCTGTGTCTTCCCCTCTTCTCTTTTCTTCCCATAGCAATTTGGAGATGAGAACGAACCCAGGATAGTGGAGATTATTGGCGAAAAACCAGGTGAGAAGACAATAGCTTGGGCTACCGTTGAGGTAGAATTCAGAAGCCATTGAAAAGATTTAGTGCCCCTCTACAGCCCAAAATAGAACTTGTGCAGTCAACGCAACACTGCAGTACTTGAAAGAATAATGCCTTTTGCTTCTTTGCTTTGTTTTGGAAACAGAATTTGATTTCAAGGTCAAAGGACACCTAGAAATTGGAGAAAAGCTGGACATTCTAAGGCAAAGGTTAGTATGAAAAATTTCTGTATTCCAAATGTAGGGTTAAAACTCATTTCACTCCAGGCCTAACCCTAAGTGGAATTTTCCTCCTATGGGATTTTCCCATTTATTTTACCAGGAAACATAGATAGGGCAGCCTAGAAAAGTCAGTGCCCTCCTAACCATACCCAAGCACTCCCAATTTGTTGGCGATGTCCATTTTGCTCTATGAGTTCATGGTGACCTAACCCTAAGTGGAATTTTCCCTCAATGGGATTTTTCCATGTATTTTACCAGGAAACATAGATAGGGCAGCCTAGAAAAGTCAGTGCCCTCCGAACCATACCCAAGCACTCCCAATTTGTTGGCGATGTCCATTTTGCTCTCTGTGTTCAACCATATCCAGCTAGTCTGCTAAATAGAAACCTGAGACTAGGACAAGTGGAATTGAATTGAATTCTTAATCAGAGTGAACTACAGGTAGTGTTCATTTAATGACCATTTAATAAAATAAACAGCGCAATATGCCAGTTCAGTTATTGCACATTGTTAGGAGATAGAGTTTGGACTGTGGTGGTTAAAAAAAAAAAATCAGGAATCTGGTAGCTTTTGTGCCTAACATATTTTATTAAAAGGCAGAATCTTTGGCAAGCTGTAGCTCGTAAGAATTTTGAATCAAACTGAATAAAATTGGTTTTCGTAAAAGGGGCTGCCAAAATCCTTCTGATCTGCGTCAGTATTTGGCAAGATCGTTCACCAGACGTTCTGCACAGTCCGTGTTCAAAGGCAACTGAGGCATGACCAACTTTAGTTACAAGGATGAGACAGTTTCCAGTGCTTGGAACCTAAAGAGACAAACAGGTGGCTTGGTTTAAATATTACCCAAAAAGATAAGGGAACCCTGCAAGTTAATTTAGCTGCACCCTTAGGAGTAGCTTGAACAATTTTTTCCCACCTTTTCCTCTCCGTAGACGCTTGGCACATATTTCCGGTTTACGATCGTACTACCTCTGCGGGGCAGGTGCCCTGCTCGAGCGAGCCCTGGTCCAGTTCACTTTCTCCAAGCTGATCAAAAAGGTATTGAGTTCTCAAGCATCTGTTCTCATAAATCAGTGTTTTTTTTCAAACTTGGCATCTCTAAGAGGTGTGATGGACTTACAGAATTCCTCAGCCAGCCGAGCTCTTGGGTTGGTCATACCCCAGAGTGTCTGCAAAAAATTCAGAATGATGGGCACACGCTCCATAATGCTGGTTTTCCTTCTCCTTTGCATTCAGGTTCAAGAGCAAACTAAAAATGAGGGGAGGGGGGTTTATAGGCACTGTGGTATGAGGCATTCCTGCAGCTCTTTATGTCTTTTTTTTTTTACCTTAAGGGTTTCATTCCCATGACTGTCCCAGATTTGCTTAAAGGAGCCGTGTTTGTGAGTATCTCTACATTTGTCCTGTTCCATGAGATTTTGGCAACTGGAGCTGAATAAGTTGTTTAGCTTCTGAGGGGGTCCTTGGTGCTCTCTGAGCTTGGTGGTTTTCTTGCAGATGTTTTATTACCCAACTAGGGAACATTATCAGTGCTAGAAGAGGTTTGGGGTTTGTGAGGAGGAGGAGGAGGAGGAGGAGGAGGAGGAGGAGGAGGAGGAGGAGGACGACGACGACGACGACGACTGTGGGGTCCTTGGTGCTCTCTGAACTTGGTGGTTTTCTTGTAGACATCTCATGACCCAACTAGGTAACATCGTCAGTGTCTTCTGTTTATCAGGAAGGCTGTGGCATATTACCTGAAGTCCACTCCTCCCTGGTGTATAGCATAGACCCTTCCCGGTTTGAGGATCTGAACTTGGCGGGAACATCCGAGGTTGGCATTGCAGGTATGGTTAAAACAGGGAAGTCTTTTGGCTTCTGGTCAAGGATGAATTTGGGGGCCACATCAGTGCTTGAAGGAAGAGTGGAGGAAAAGGAGGGGCCAGGAGGAGGACAGTGGGGTCCTTGGTGCTCTCTGAGCTTGGTGGTTTCCTTGCAGACGTTTCATGACCCAACAAGGTAACATCATCAGTGCTGCAACGGGGATTTTGTGGAGAAGAGGAGGAGGTCCTTGGTGATCTCTGAGCTTGGAGGTTTTTTTGCAGACGTTTCATGCCCCAACTAGGTAGCATCATCAGTGCTAGAAGGGAGGAGGAAGAGGACTGAGGGGTCCTTGGTGCTCTCTAAGCTTGGTGGTTTTCTTGCAGACGTTTCATGACCTAATTAGGTAACATCATCAGTGCTAGAAGGGGGAGTTGTGGAGAAGGAGAAGGACTGTGGCTAGTCCTTAGAGCTTTCTGAGCTTGGTGGTTTTTTTGGAGACATTTCGTGACCCAGCTAGGTAACATCATCAGTGCTGGAAGGGTTTGCTCTCTGTTTATATACAAAGAGCTTGCTCTGTCAGTGGGAATGTTCTTGATGGTTCCTTCTTTAGGCTGTTGTTTACTGTTTGATTATTTGATGGCTCGTCTTCTGGCACTGATGATGTTCCCTAGTTGGATCATGAAACGTCTGCAAGGAAGCCCCAAACTTGACAAAGACCAAGGACAAAAATGGGATTTCTTTAATTAAGAAATCTGCGAACATTCCACCATTCGATTCTGAGCTACAAAGGTTCTACCACTCCCATTTTTTTTCTTTCTGTTTTTATCTTCTCCAGGTTATTTTGCAGACCATGCCGTAGCTTTGAAGGATCTGCCCGTCAGGTGAGTCGGTGGTGCTTTCTGTGCATTCACACCTTCAGAATTGTCTTTTTAGCTCCCTAGATGTTCCAGAGGGCTGGTTTTTTTTAAATTAACTTCCAACAGATTTTTATAGGGCGGGTGGGAAGGCCTGATCTATGATTAATCCTCTTTTTCTCTTGGCCAGGATAGTGTGTTCCAGCACCTGCTACCGAGCAGAAACTCAGACCGGCAAGGAACCTTGGGGTCTCTATCGAGTGCACCAGTTCAACAAGGTGAGGCCGGCTTGACTCACAATTTGCCACACTCGGCAAATGGATGGATGGATGGATGGATGGATGGATGGGTGGGTGGGTGGGTGGGTAGGTAGGTAGGTAGGTAGGTAGGTAGGTAGGTAGATAGATAGATAGATAGATAGATAGATAGATAGATAGATAGATAGATAGATAGATAGATAGATAGATGATGGTAGAGAGAGAGAGAGTGAGAGTGAGAGAGATGAGAGACAGATGAGATAGACAGACAGACAGACAGACAGATAGATAGATGATGGTTGATAGATAGATAGATAGATAGATAGATAGATAGATAGATAGATAGATAGATAGATAGATAGATGATAGATAGATGATAGATGGATGATAGATAGATAGATAGATAGATAGATAGATAGATAGATAGATAGATAGATAGATAGATAGATAGATAGATAGATAGATTATTATTATTTTATTATTATTATTTTAATTTATATACCACCCTATCTCCCTTACGGGACTCAGGGTGGTGAACAGGCGATAATAAAAATCACAATAAATATTAAATAAAAAGCCTGCTCTAAAATACCCCATATAAAAACCTCTACCAAAACACAATCAAAACTACGCCATATAACCTTTATAGATAGATAGATAACCTTTATTGTCATTTTTTACTGTGGGCAGAATGGCACACATTAAAAATGAAATGTAGTTGCTGGCTCTCAAAGTGTACACATGCATAACACCCATTTAAACATGCCATATACAACATATGTATAGACCTACTACACCTTTACATATAAGTACCATATAAACATTATTCACTGCCCATCTCGAATACATAACGGAAGGAGGAAGCTTGAGAGTTCACAAGGTTAATACTGCATGGAACAAAACTGTGACTGAATCTGGATGTTCTGCTTCGAATACCACATGCTGCCTGGGGGATTCTGGGAGTTGGAATTACACATCTTAAAGCATGCTCCCTGGGGGATTCTGGGAGTTGAGGTCCACCCATCTTAATGCATGCTGCCTGGGGGATTCTGGGAGGTCACCCTTTTCTCCTCCCTGCATTCACCCAGGTGGAAATGTTTGGGGTCACCGCCAATGAGACGGGCTTCGAAAGCAGTGCCTTGATGGAGGAATTCCTCGCCCTCCAGAAAGAGATTTTCCTGGAGCTGGGATTACACTACAAGTAAGGAGACGTGGTGGACTTACAGTTCACACAGGATCTGTCTGAGCCCCTCCTTTATGACGGCTGCAGTGTCCCCGGGGTCATACGATCCCCTTTTGCATCCTTCGGAGAGCAAAGTCAATCGGGGAATGCAGATTCACCCGTTTACTAACGTAACTGCAGCGTTTCACTTCACTCGTGGGGCACGAAAAGGTCGTAAAATGGGGCAAAACTCAGCGGGACAGCTGTCCCGTGTAGCAATGGAAACTTTTGGGTTCCACTGTGGTTGTAAGTAGAGGGCTACCCGTACACTGTGGAGGAGTTCACAGTAAACCCCATCTCCCCATCCAAGGAGCCAGATGGATAAAGACGGCGCGAGGGGGGCTCAGCCCCTGCTTGCCCACCCAAAGGGGCTTCAGGGTTTAGCTGTTCCTTTGTGGCTGCTACACTTGTTCTGACCAGCCTCTCTTTGCGGCAGAGTTCTGGACATGCCCCCGCACGAACTGGGCCTGTCTGCCTTCAGGAAATTCGACATTGAGGCCTGGATGCCCGGCCGGAACCAGTACGGAGAGGTGAGGGGGGGGGTTTTTGCAAAGCCTAGGCTTTGGGGAGGGGGGGTTGCACTAAGGGTTGGTGGTGGGGGGAAATCAAGGTGGTGGTCAAAAGGTTTGATTGACCTACCTCTGGATGCACCACTGGTTTGGTATCCATGCTGGAACTATTGCTGGTGGTCAAGCCTTTACAGCTTGGGAATTTTCTCCTGGGAAACTCACCTGTCTTGCTCCAGGTGTGAATGGGAAGAATTCACCGTCTCTGGAATCGTCTGCTGGATTCAGTCCAGCCCATTTTGGACCCAGCTTTTTTGTTTGCCCATTCTTGTTCTCTTTTGTTTCTTCATTTTGGTTATAAGCCGCTCCAACTGAGAATAAGAGATGGGAAGGGACCTCGGAGGTCTTCTAGTCCAACCCCCTGCTCAAGCAAGAAACCATTTCAGACAAAGGGTTGTCCAATCTCTTCTTAAAAACCTCCAGTGTTGGAGCAGCCACAACTTCTGGAAGTCCCAGGATATGTGCAAAAGAAACAGCCCTTCACTTCTGATTATCCCAGCCTGAGAAACAAGCATTAAACCCCCCTCATAAACACTTCGGGGCTATAGGGCACAGCCCCTGTTCTCTTTCCTGGACCACGCCAGTACAACATCAGAAGAAGAAGAGGAAGGAAGAAGGAAGGAGAAGGAGAAGGAGAAGGAGAAGAAGAAGAAGAAGAAGAAGAAGAAGAAGAAGAAGAAGAAGAAGAAGAAGAAGAAGAAGAAGAAGAAGAAGAAGAAGAAGAAGAAGAAGAAGAAGAAGAAGAAGAAGAAGATGATGATGATGATGATGATGATGATGATGGTTGATTGTTCCAACTGTCAGGAAGTTTCTCCTTAGTTCTGGGTTGCTTCTCTCTTTGGTTAGTTTCCATCCGTTGCTTCTTATCCTGCCTTCAGGGGCTTTGGAGCACTTCCTGGCTACATCAGTGTGTTTCTTTTTATCACTTTTATTTATTAAATTTATATGCCCCCCTCATCTCACTGTCGAGCAACTCTGGGTGTTTTATAACCTCATAAAAGAGCCGTGCAAAACGTTGAGAATGTGAAAAAAAACATTACAAAACAAGTAGATGGGACAGGAACGGAGACATAAATAAGATGGAGGTGGGATTGTTTCTTTTCCGCCTGCCCACCGTGCTCCTTGCCCTCTTCCATTCTTCCCTCCCCCTCTAGATATCCAGCCTCTCTAATTGCACTGATTTCCAGTCGCGGCGCTTGAACATCATGTACTACGATGAGAAACAGCAGCTCAGCTTTGCGCATACTGTAAGCTCGGTTCAGGGAGACCCTGGGGGGGGCAATGTCTCAAGAATAAAGAGGGTGGGGGGAGCTGCAAAGGGAGAAAGCACCCACTTGATGCCTTTTCTCCCTCTGGGTGATTTTTGGGGCTGGGGGCTTCATGTGCACAGTTGCCAAACGTTCACGAACCGTTTTGTGCTTTCGCAGGTTAACGGAACCGCTTGCGCGATTCCCCGGATGGTCATTGCCATCCTGGAGTCCAACCAACTCAAGGTTTGTTGAGGGGGTGTTTGCTTGGCATAGGACAGGGGTAGGCAACCTTGGCTCTTTTATGACTGGTGGACTTCAACTCCCAGAATTCCTGAGCCAGCCGTGCTGAGGGGAAAGGGAGAGGTTTCCAAGCTGAGCCATGCTGGCTCAGGAATTCTGGGAGTTGAAGTCCACGAGTCATGAAGGGGCCATAGTTCCCCCATGCTGGCTCAGGAATTCTGGGAGTTGAAGTCCACTAGTCATGAGGGGGCCATAGTTCCCCCATGCTGGCTCAGGAATTCTGGGAGTTGAAGTCCATGAGTCATGAGGGGGCCATAGTTCCCTCATGCTGGCTCAGGAATTCTGGGAGTTGAAGTCCACGAGTCATAAAAGAGCCAAGGTTGCCTACCTTGGTGTAGGCTCCGTAGAATATGGCAGCCTTGCCCAAGCTGGAGCACTCTCTGGGTGCCTTGGGACTACGACTCCCAGAATTCCTAGCCAGCCAGGGAGGATAGAATGCTTGGGGAAACATTGCAGCTTCCTCCCTATGGTGATAAAATAGTGAGGACCTGACCATGCACTGGTTCTATCCTTGTCCAATCTGGATGACCTGCTCCCAGGGCGCAGAGCAAATAGCCAAGCTGGTTGGGGGAATGCTGGGAGTTGTAGTTTCAACACATCGGGAAGGCACCAGCTTTGAGGGAAAGCTGTTATATACATCTTAAATGAACTCTGGTTTTCTTTGGCCCTCGCCAGTCCAGTTTTGAGTTGCAGAAATAAGTCAGGATCGAGGCTGGATCCTTGCCAAGGTCAACCTCGCTCTCAGGAACATCCCTACTGTAAATAAAACAGGAAGAAACGGTCCTTGACTTACTTACAACATCTGTTTAGCAACAGTTTGAAGTTGCAGCGGTACTCAGAGAATGAGTTTGTGACCGGTCACGACCAGCGCAGTATTTCCCTGGTCACAGGATCCAAATCTGGGTGCTTGATAACCCCGATTTTGTATTTGCGACGGCTGCATCACCTTGGGTCACAAAATCGCCATTTGCAAGCCGGCTTTGCTTAACGACCCTGTGATTAACAAGTGCAGTGATTCGCTTAGCAACCGTCACCCAAAAAAGATACATTTGAGCGTGACTCGCTTAAAAAATTGTCCTGCTTAGCAGTGGGAATTCTGGCCTCGGTGGCAGTCATAAGTCAAGGATTACCACATGTACAGGGGATTATTTATTTTTATTTTTTTTTTCTTTTGACCCCATCTTCTCCTTTCCCCAGGACGGCAGCGTTCAGATCCCGGCAGTCCTGCAGCCTCTGATGGGCGCCGAGGTCCTCACCAAACCCAGCCACAACCTGTTGAAATACATCGGTCCCAACCAGTCCAAGAAAGGGAAGAAACCAATCTGGAAAACTCAGAACGAGTGAGGACCCTCCGTTAGGGGCCGGATCCTGCTGCCAAATGGGGCAGCCCCTCCTGAACAGCCGAAGGGCTCCTTCTGCCTGGCGGTTGGAGAGGGCTCTGACGGGGCGCATTGCGTCGGTTCCCTCCGTAAAAGTCACCAATGGAGAAAGGTGCTTCCTTGCGCCCTTCTATTTCGGAGCGGGTTCCCCTTCTGGGGGGCACCTGGGGTCTTCCAGAGATGACCCATCAACCCAGCTGGCAGGGACTCTGGTTTTCTAACGGGGGTGTCTCTTCAAGGGACTGCCTCTTCTGCGCAAGGGGTGCCTCGGTACCGCTTTAGCCAGGCCTCGCTAGTGCCTCTCTTAAGGACGGAGACTTGTTTTTGAGATTGGGGGGGGGTCCCTGAGTGGGGGAGCAGAACAGTTATTTCAGCCTCTAGTTCAGTGTTTCTCAACCTTGACCATTTTAAGGCATGTGGACTTCAACTCCCAGAATTCCACAGCCAGCAATGCTGGCTGTGGAATTCTGGGAGTTGAAGTCCACATGCCTTAAAATGGTCAAGGTTGAGAAACACTGCTTCTAGTTTCTTCTGCACCCGTCTAACGTTCGTTCCTGTACTCTTTCCGCCCCCCTGGAAATTCAGGGTCTTTGGAAACAGCCCACATCTCAAATCCCACCAGGCTATCTCGACCGGGAAGGAGAGGGCTAGGAATAACAAGATGTAAATAAATAAAAACCGGGGTGATCTTTTCACTGCTTTCTCCTGTGGCCTTGAGTGAAAAGTCCTGTTTTATCTGCATCCCTTCAAAACCAAGCTGTCCTGGCCCCTGGCCCTCTAGTTGGGGGTGCCCCCCCTGGGTTCCCCCCCCCCAGGGCTGGGATAAAGACCCCTTTTGAGAGGAGCCACCAGCTGCTGCGGGGCGTGCCACCTAGCAACTCCAGTTGTTGCGCGATCTCGAGTGAGTTCTGCCCAGCAGCTGTCGTCCTGTTTCACAACAACTAGGTTGCACGCGACCCGGGGCCCCCATGCGTGACTTCAGAACAAAGGCCTGTTACAAAAGGAAGATCAACAGGTTGCAGCTGGTCACAGCAAGTCAAGGGAGGCTGCCATGGAAACTACTCTTCCAAATAAGCTTGTCTGGAGCAAAAGGGGGAGTTGTGGCTTATAACTATAACTGGGCCAGCAGATGGGGTGGGGGGGAAAGCTGGCATCACGGATGCTTGCAGGTCTGTGTAGCCACCACGGGTAGAGGAGCTGGGCACGATAGTTCACATAAAGAGTAGCTTTGCTTCCATGGTGGGCTTTGGGAGTAGAACGACTTTACGGGAGAGGAAACTGGGAGATTGGGCTAGAAACTAGGAGTTGGTGAGTTCTAGCCCTACATTAGGTGCAAAAGGTGGTTGACTGACTGGGCCAGTCACCAGGAGACTGTTCCCACCTTACGCATGAAAGCTGGCTGGGTATTAGAATAGAATAGAATTGGAATTGGAATAGACAGAGAATAGAATAGAATAGAATATGGAATAGAATAGAATAGAATATGGAATAGAAAATAGAATAGGGAATTAGAATTAGAATTGACAGATTGTAGAATAGAATAGAATATGGAATACCGTAGAATAGAATAGAATAGAATATGGAATAGAAAATAGAATAGGGAATTAGAATTAGAATTGACAGATTGTAGAATAGAATAGAATATAGAATATGGAATAGAATAGAATAGAATAGAATAGAATAGAATAGAATAGAATAGAATAGAATAGAATAGAGCTGGAAGGGACCTTGGAGGTCTTCTAGACCAGCCCCCTGCTCAGGCAGGAGACCCTATACCATTTCAGACAAGTGACTGTCCAGCCTCTTCTTAAAAACCTCCAGTGATGGAGCGTCCACGATTTCTGGTGTCCAGCTGTTCCACTGGTTAATTGTCCTTGCTGTCAGGAAGTTTCTCCTTAATTCCAGGTTGCTTCTCTCTTTGGTCAGTTTCCAACCATTGTTTCTCGTCCTTCCCTCTGGTGCTTTGGAGAATAATTTGACCCTCTCTTCTTCTTTGGGGCAGCCCCTCAGATACTGGAACGTTGCTATCGTGTCTCCCCTGTTTCTTCTTTTCTTTAGACTAGCCAAACCCAAGTCCTGCAGCCGTTCTTTGTATGTTTTCGTCTCCAAGCCTTGGATCATTTTTCCCCCCACTCGTCTTAAGCACGTGATGTTCAGATAGACAATGTTGCATTAAACCAGGGTTTTCCAAGTTCGGTAACTTTATAAGACTTGTGGACGTCAACTCCCAGAATTCCCCAGCCAGCCATGCTATTCCCCCCACACACACACCCCCGTGCTGGCTGGGGAATTCTGGGAATTGACATCCACAAGTCTTATAAAGTTGCCACACTTGGAGATCCCCCTGGTTTAATGCAACTTAGCCTATTTCAATGTTGTGCGCTTGCGACGCGCACTGCCAAGGCTTGGGATGCCTTCCTTCGAAAAACCCGTTACCCACCCACCCACCCCCCTTCAAATCCTCCTTCCTCTCCTCCCTCTCACTTCTAGGGTTGTATAAAATGACCCCCTCCCCTCTTTTCGGCCGGACATACACAACCTGCTTTGTAAGCGATGCTAAATCATGCATGAATTCTCTCTCAACCCCTGGAAAGGGAAGTTTTTATTTTTATTTTTTAAATGGGGGGGGTCTCGTTAGCACCCAGATAAGGGGACCCTCCCCCCCAGCCCCTCAACCTGCTGTTAGGAGCAGGTGACATCACTTCCTCCCCAGCCTCCTCCTTAGCATTCCCCCCGCCCCCTTTTCCAAAGTCTCCGATGCGACTCTGTTCAGTTCCACACGCAAATAAGTCCTTCAGGCTCCCCCATCCAAGGACATTTGCCGGCTGCTGCTGCTATTGCAGCAGACCTTGCTTGGCGTGGGGTTCTCCCCCCCCCCTTTTGTAGACTTTTTCTTCTCTCCCCCCCTCTAAAAAAAAACCCTCCACCAGTCCAAGAGGGACAGAGAGGCGAGCTTGCTCAGGATTTGAGCTATGATGTCCCTCGGAGTCTCTCTTCTGCTCTTTTTCCTCTGCCAAGGTAAGTCCCATGCGTGGTTTCCATCCCTTCCCTTCCCTTCCAGCCCCTTCGGCTCTCCATCCCCATGAAAGAAGGAAGCCGAACGGTCCTCTCCAAAGTTTTTTCCCCTGTTTTTTGATCTTGCTCCATTAAGCACTTAAGCAGCCCCGGTGCAGCCCACCAAGTGTTCCTTCTTCAACTTAAAATGCAGGTCAGCCAAGGAGCCTGGCGGCCTGGGAGGATCGCCTCAGTTGGGGTGTGGACTCCTGGTTTTGTAGCCCTGTTCCCCAAGGTCTTTCTTTCCTACTGATTTTCCCCACTCCTTCCCCCCCCCCAGGAAGGGCATGATTTTTGCCCGAAGGGAGCAAAACCCCCCCCAAAAAAGTGCTTCTTGGGAGGATGGCCCGTCTTCCTTGGACGAGATCTAATGTTTTTCCTTTTTGGGGGGGGCCTTGGAGGAAAAGAGTCTGACTTGGGAATGTATTCTAACAGAATAACGAGAGTGGGAAGGGAGCTTGGAGGTCTTCTAGTCCAACCCCCTGCTCAAGCAGGAGACCCGATACCAGTTCAGAGAAATGGCTGTCCCAATCTCTTCTTGAAAATCTTCTGTTGGTGGTTAGAGTTAAAATATACCTTATTTCAGTTGTTTCCCCCCCCCCCCAATCTGTTACCTTCCCATTTATTGGGCTGTAAATCTTAGAATTATAGAGCTGGGAAGGACCCTGGAGGTCTTCTAGTCCAACCCCTTGCTCAAGAGAGCCTTCTCTTACCTGCCCAGATACTGCTGGGGCTTATAGGAGTTCGAGTCCGCTCTTTGTTCGTTTCTTTCATGCCTACAAACAGCAAATCCTAGCTTGGAAGCTAGAAGTTGAGTATCACACATCTACCAGCTTCTTAAAATCTTTTACTCCGGAATGATCCTCAAAACTCTCAATCTCCTCCTTGAATGCTGCTTGCTCTTTCCCAGTTGCATTTGTGGTTTGTTTTTGTTTTTGTTTTTTTAAAAATAGATTTTCAATTTTTTTTCCAATCTCCCCCCCCCCGTTCCTTTTATTCCCTCTGTTTTGATGGCTCTTTTCCCAAATTTGCCTCCTTTTTAAAATGCCATACGGAGTCTGACAATACCAAGCTGTTCTATTGGCAGTGGGTTGAGGGGGGGAAGGTTGGGGGGTGTTGGGGGTGGTCCCGTTCCCCTAAAACAACTCTCGGTTTAGATCCGGATTTCGTTCTGATGAAGGCACAGTCGTTTTTGGGCCAGCGCTGCGCCAATCATGGTCTTTTCGGAACTTGGACGGGATTCCAACTCAAGGGGGGGGGGTGCTTCAGCACCCTGGAGAGCGGCGTTTTTCCAATCCCAAGGAGGTTGAATCCTTCAATCCTGCCTTTTTTCCTTCTTCTTTTCCTCTATGCAGGGAATTTTTAAAGCACACACACACACAGAGAGACACACAGCCCTCCCCTTTTCGGTTCCTAAAATACTTGGGTTGTGTGAATTGGACTTGCTGCTTGGGGTTTGGCCCCAGACTAGCTGCGTTTTGTACTTTGAAAGTTGGCCAAAAGGCTTGATGGGTTTCTTGGGCAATGCAGTCTATCGGTTAGTTGTAATGGGAGATGGATCAATCCCAGAAGTCCCTAGATCAGGGGTAGGCAACCCTGGTTCTTCTATGACTCGCGGACTTCAACTCCCAGAATTCCTGAGCCAGCCATGCTGAGGGGAAAGGGAGAAGTTTCCATGCTGAGCCATGCTGGCTCAGGAATTCTGGGAGTTGAAGTCCACCAGTCATGAAGGGGCCAAAGTTTTCCCCATGCTGGCTCAGGAATTCTGGGAGTTGAAGTCCACGAGTCATGAGGGGGCCAAGGTTTTCCTCATGGTGGCTCAGGAATTCTGGGAGTTGAAGTCCACGAGTCATGAGGGGGCCAAGGTTTTCCCCATGCTGGCTCAGGAATTCTGGGAGTTGAAGTCCACGAGTCATAAAAGAGCCAAGGTTGCCTACCCCTGCCCTAGACTGCCTGCCTTCAGTTGTGTAGATTTCAACTCCCAGAATTCTTCAACAAAACTGGGCAATTTGGGGAATTCTGGGAATTTGAAGTGCTGATGAGATCCCAAGTTTCTCATTCAGGCTGGGATTGTGCTCCTAAAGAAAGGAGGGCATGGAAAAAACCCAATTCCAATCTTATGCAATTCAGTAATAGAGTAGGAATCGGCAACACAATATTTTTTAGAAGGAAACAGAATTAATTGGGGCTGGGGGGGGATGGATGGGGAGGGAGGGAGCAGCTTCCAGTACATGCTTGATGTTTCATTTCAGGTTGTTATTATTATTTTTGGGTACTGTTGTTGTGCAGTCTCCAGCATTATGTAAGTCTTATGTAAGTAAGACTGGCACACCTGAAAAACTTAAGTCCTCTCTTCCTAAGCTGTTGAGGGGGGGGGGATAGGGGTAAAATCTCCAGAGATTACTAACCCCATAATGAGAGCCTTCTTTGCAACAGCCCCCCCCCTTTTTTTTTTAGTTATCAGTAGAATCACTTGGTCCTTGCTACAGAATTACAGAATAAAAGACTTGGAAGGGACCTTGGAGGTCTTCCAATCCAGCCCCTTCCTTTGACAGTGGCTTATTTTAAAAAACCAACAGTGGATCTGTAAAGGGGAGATTAACGGGGTGTTGGGAGAATTATTTTACATCGGGTCACAAGCTGGCCAGAGTCACGGGACAGCGAGAGAGGCAGTGTATCCATTTAATAAATAATAAAAATTAAAAATATTCACTGTTGTTCTGAACTGAGTTTGGCCTACCCCCTGCCGGTGTTTGCTTGAACAGCAGCTGGATGTCCCCAAAATGAAACAGCCAAAAGGCTTTTCTTGAATGGAGATATAAAAACGAGGAAGATTGCATCCAGCTTGGCAACTTTTAAGACCTGTGGACTTCAACTCCCAGAATGCCTCAGCCTGCATGTGGAATAGCATGGCTGGCTGGGGAATTCTGAGAGTTGGAAGTCCACAGGTCTTAAAAGTCTCCACGGTTGAGCAACTCTGTGGTTTAATCAGTCTCATTTCTTATGGGCTTTTTTAGCTCAGGAAGGGAGATCAGAAAATTAAAGGAGAAGGGAAGGGAAGAAGGGGGAAGGGGGAGCAGGATGGGGAAGGGAAGGGAAGGGAGGAAGAAAGAAAATGAATAAAGGAAGATGTACAGAGAAGGAGAGGGGAGGAAGTAGAGATGGAGGAAGATAGTTCCCACGACGGAGGAACATCCCGCTTTAAACAAGAACCTGCTTTGGTTCTCTTGATCTACAACAGCTCAAAAGAAAAATGGACAGTCTCTTTTTGCAAAGCGATTTGGCACAAGATGCACCTGGCTTAACAACTGAAGCGTGCCACCGAGCCACAACGGAGGTCCTTTTAAAGTCCCCGAACAGCTGTCTCTTCTCTCACCCAACAGATGCCATTCAATAGGTTGCATTCCTGCCACATCTGGACAGGATGAGGACACCATAAACCTCTGCTTCCCACCATTAGGGCAGATGAGAGTTTGGAGCTGTGATGCTGGGCAACACCAACCCAATTAGCTTTTTGGAAATTAAACCTCTTGCAAGTCTGCTTTTTATTTTGCCTTTTAAAAGGAGGGCACTTCAGAGAAAGCAAATTTGCCTGCATTCTCCAAGGAAAAGCTATTTCCATTGGTTTACACAATACATCTGACAGAGGGATAGAATCAAGATGACATGAAGTGCTAATACCGCTTTATAAGGCCTTGTGAAGACCACACTTGGAATACTGCATCCAGTTTTGGTCACCACGATGTAAAAAAGATGTTGAGACTCTAGAAAGAGTGCAGAGAAGAGCAACAAAGATGATTAGGGGACTGGAGGCTAAAGCATATAAGGAACGGCTGCTGGAATTGGGTATGTCTAGTTTAACGAAGGGAAGGATTAGGGGAGACATGATAGCAGTCTTCCAATATCTCAGGGGCTGCCCCAAAGAAGAGGGAGTCAAGCTATTCTCCAAAGCGCCTGAAGGCAGGACAAGAAGCGACGGATGGAAACTAACCAAGGAGAGAAGCAACCTGGAACTGAGGAGAAATTTCCTGACAGTGAAAACAATTAACCAGTGGAACAACCTGCCTCCAGAAGCTGTGAATGCTTCAACACTGGAAGTTTTAAAGAAGAGACTGGACAACCATTTGTCTGAAATGGTATAGGGGTTTCCTGCCTGAGCAGGGGGTTGGACTAGAAGACCTCCAAGGTCCCTTCTAACTCTGATTCTGTTCTTTTACCCACATCAACTAAATTAGAAAGCTCCCAGCCCCTGCTCTTTTATTCCCATCTCATAGAAAGGAAAGTCAGATTAATATTAGACCAGTCATGATTTCAAACCCAAGCAAGCTAACCAAGCACTGTGTTTTGCTACTGAAATGTAGGTATGTTTGAACATTTGGCAGACTATAATGTTTTCTCTCTTTCCCCCCCCTCCTCCCCCCACAGCATTTTCGCTGCCCGTCCCTACTCAGCTGTCCAAGGAGGATGAAACGGTAAAGGAAAAGGGAAGGGAAGGAGAGCGAAGGATACACAGGTAGTCCTCGAGTTATGACGACAACCGAGGCCAGGATTTCTGTGGCTAAGCCAGGAGGTCCTTAAGTGGGTTGTGCTTGATTTTACGACCTTTTTTTGCCTCCTGTTGTTAAGCCAATCAGTGCAGTTGTTAAGTGAGTCGGGCTGTCGTTAAGCGCATCCAGCTTCCTCCAGTGGACTGCTGTAAGTCGAGGACTACCTGTATAATGGAAGAGGAGTTGGGAGAGATGAACTTTGTTGGGAGGGTTGGGTTGGCCTGCAACAGGCAAAGTGTCATGGTTCCGACAGATGAAACTCTTCAAAGAACTTCGAGGCATTGTTTACCTTAAAGAATCTTTATTTGAGTAGCATACCATTGGCACTGCATAATCGAAGCCAAAAACTGGATTCCCCACCCCTGAGCACATAGTATCAAAGCACAATTCCCTCCTCCAATTAACTGTCATAAATCACATTCTCCAATTAGTTTGAAATGCAGGCTCTCCCCTCCAGTTCTCCAGCCCGCCAATTCTTATCATCTCTTATTTCAATAACCTTGGTTCTCACACCAAGTCCAGTATTATTATGTCTATCTACATTCTCATGCACATTCCTTCCCCTCCCCAGCAACATCTAACTCTAAAAGTAAAACATAAGAAGAAAATGGCTGCATCTGTAACTGTTGTCAAAGCAAAAACTTCCGATGTTGGCAGCGTTGACATAAGGTTTCTCCGGGGATGTTGGGGTGTTTCGGTTGTGGGACAGCTGCAGAACTTTTGAAGCTCCAGGAACTTTACATAAGTGAGGAAAGAGAGAAGAGAAGGTCTTCAGTGCCAGATGTGGACCAGAAGCTGGGCAGAGAGAGAGAGAGAGAGAGAGAGAGACTCAAAAAAATAGCTTCCACCACTAACCTCCGGTCTTCTCCTGGGTTTTCTGGCTAGGTGGTTAAATGCATCTCTGAAATCTTAGCAGACGCCCTTTCCAGATCCAGCCCAATGCCGGTGACCAGCGAATGCATGAAGATCCTGAGGGAGGGTAAGTGGAGAATTGGGGTCTTCCTCCTCCATCACTCATGCTGTGAGTTGCTTGCATTGTGTGCGCACCTGTGCATTTGTTACTCTTGGGAGGGTTAACCCGAGTTCCATTTCAGACGAGAGAGTCCTCGCGCTGCTTCAACATCGGCATCTTTTGACGGAGTTGGAGGAACTCGCCCATCAAGGTCAGCAACTCAATTGTTGAGTTCCGTTCTTTGCCAGGTGGAGATGGAGGGTGCACGGGGGGGGGGCTTTTAAGGTGCCGTCCAGGGGCCACTCGTGTGTCGGGGTGTGTGTGTGTGGACTCAGGAGCTACACTCTGGACCATTATCTTTCTCCTTCTGGAAAAGAACCAACTGGAAGTTCAACCAATGGGCATCCTAGTTGTAAAGTCTGAGAAACAGGGGCCCACCGTACGGGAATTCCCGACATTTTGCATGCTGCATATTCTCCAAAATAGCGGTTAGATGTAGGAGGGGAACATCCTCCTGCGGGCAGATGCAAAACATGATAACATTTTTCAGAGGTAGAACGTCGGGTTTCCTTCTGGGGACATACAAGTAGTCCTTGAATTACAATAGTTCATTTACTGACTGTTCGAAGTTACAACGGAGGTGAAAAAAGAGACTTATGAGTTTCTTTTTTACGTGAGTTCTACGTTTCTCACACTTACAAGCATTGCAGCACGGGTAAAGATACATAGACGTTGGACAGCGCTGTGAGAATTAGGTGTTCAGTAGAGCGATGGCTTGATGGAAAAAATTGTCCCCGCGTCTTTTATTTTTTACATTTACTTTTGCTCCGTGTCTTCCATTCCTTTCCCAGAAAACGCGAAGCATCTCCTGGCCCATGAAATTAACCACAATTCTGGGGAAGAAAAACAACAAGGAGAACTCCAGAAGAGCGATGGGCTTTCTCAGCAGAAAGAAGCTGAGCGGGCTGGCGGAAAGAAAGAAGATGAGGCGGAGAAGGAGGAGGTGAAGAAGGTGATGAAGAAGGACGAGAAAACTAAAAAACCCCAGGAGAAAATCAAGGTCTCCCAAAAGGAAGATGGTCAAGACTCTTTGGAGGAACGGGACGTAGAGGAGGAGCAGGAGGAGAAAGAAACGAAGGAGAGGACCGCCTCGGAGACGTGGTACTCGAAGGAATATTTTGGCCACGTCAAGAAAAGAGGTTCTAGGCAGCCCAAAATCAGAAAGGGGATGCTTCGGGGAGAGGAAGGAGGCCAGGAGAGAGAGGAAGTGGGCAAGAGACGCTCGAGGATGGGTGAGGAAGAGAAGGAGGACCCTTCAGAAGAAGAGGAGCAGAAGAAATACCATCCGGGAGGACACAGTGAGGATGAGAGCTGGGAGGAAGAGGAGGAAAGATCTGCTGTGGCCAAGAGGGTGGCGGAGAAGGCCAGCGATGAGGAGACCGCCCAGTTCGAAGAAGAAGAGAAGGGCCACCTCCATAAAAGCTGGAAGCCATGGAAGGAAGAAGCAGAGGAGGAGGAGGAGGAGGAGGAGGAGGAGGAGAAGCACGACAAGGCGAGACATGGCCACCACCATCCATCGGTTGGCTTGGAGCTCAGGAAGAGACATGGGAAGGAGGAAGTGGATCTGAAGGGTAGACACCACGCTCCGGAGGAGGAGGAAGAAGAAAAGGACTCCAAACAGAGGAAGGTTGGTCTCCAGGCAGAGTTGTTTTGAGCACCTATCAGCTGGTTTGATTTTAAAAAGGCTTCAATTCAGTTTTGGTGGCTTCTGCTTTCAAAAACTAAGGAAGGAAGGAGAAGGAGTAGAACGGGAAAATAAAAATAGCTGGGAAGATCCAGGAGGAAGTAAAGATCTAGGCTTCTAAAAGTTTTCTCCTAAAGAGGGATCGTTTAGGATGGGTGGCCAACCTTGGCGACTTTAAAACTTATGGACTTCAACTCCCAAAATGCACAAAACTTTTTTGTAGCTCGGAAACGCTCTTGCCTCTTCAAACTAGGGCAGGGGTAGGCAACCTTGGCTCTTTTATGACTCGTGGACTTCAACTCCCAGAATTCCTGAGCCAGCCCTGCTGGCTCAGGAATTCTGGGAGTTGAAGTCCACGGGTCATAAAAGAGCCAAGGTTGCCTACCCCTGAACTAGGGGCTGTTCCGTGCCCGTTACTTTTTGTTTTCCACCATCTATGAAATACGGAGAGTTGTGATTAGAGACTAGTCAACTCTTCTGGCTATCTAAGAAGGTTTATCAAAAGTTTAATTAAACTTGGTTTTCAAAGTTCACCGCTCAGATTTGTGAGGTGGTGGTGGAATAGGGTACCCAAGATAGTAGGGGGCAAACTTTGCATTGGAATTTGGCTACGGTTTTTGCAGCATTTCATGGTTAGAAGTCAGGTTGACTTCTTTGTAGAGTAATGATAATTCCAGAAATGTCTTAAAAGGAAAACTAAGGTCCTGCAGAGAATGGAAAGTCACATGTTATTCTCCAGATGTGCTGGCCAGCTGCTCCAATGAGGTGCAGCAACACATCTGGATAGATCCAACACAAACCCTAACCCTATCCTATTAGCTAATGCTATGCTATGCTGGCTGGGGAATTCTGGGAATTGAAGTCCACAAATCATAAAGTCCCCAAGGTTGGCCACTCCTGCTTTTGGAGCTAAGTGTCCGAGCTCCTTTGCCCTCCTCCCCGTGAGGGTGATTCGCTTAACAACTAGGGCAAAAAAAATGGTCATAAACCCGGGCACGGCTCACTTAACCACCTCTTTGCTTAACGACAGAAATTCTGGTCCCAGTTAGAGTCATACGTAGAGGACTGCCTGTATTCTGACTTTCTCTCCTTCGAAGGCTGATTGCGATACCCATCGCCCTCTAAAAACCTCTTTCCTCCGTTTGGAAATGGCGGGCCGGCCTTAAATTTCTCAGCCAAGGTCACCCCGGCAGGGGAATTGTGAGTGAGTTGAAGTCCACAAATCTGGAAGACCTCCAGGATGGAGAAGACTGAAATCAGACCCATGCTGGATGGTTCCGCTCTTTCTCTCTTTTTTTCTTAACTAAATTCTTTTCTCGTGTGTTGCTTTTCCCTCTAGGCTCAGGAGATGGAGAAACTGGAAGAGGTTGAACGGCAGCTGAAGTGGGCAGCCGACAATCTAGAAGAACTGAAGCGGGGTTAAATCCTGCAGCCGCCTCAGGAGCTGGGGAGGGTAGGAGAAATCCCCGGCTCTCGATCAAGTAGCCTTCTATCAGCTCCCTCTCCTGTCTCTCTCTCTCTGACCCTTGTATTCAGCTTGGCTTTAGACTGTTAATGAAGTTTTCCCCTTGCTTACATTGAGAATAAAGAAGAGAATATTTGTAGCTCAGGGCTGGGGTCCTGGATGCTCTCTGGGCTGGGTGGTTTTCTTGCAGATGTTTCGTGACCCAGCTAGGGAACATCATCAGGGCTAGAAGGGAGTGGGGTTTGTGGAGAGGAGGAGGAGGAGGAAGGAGAAATGTGGAGTCCTTGATGTCCGCAGAGCTTGGTAATTTTCTTGCAGATGTTTCGTGACCCAGCTAGGGAACATCATCAGGGCTAGAAGGGAGTGGGGTTTGTGGAGAGGAGGAGGAGGAGAAAGGAGATGGAGGAAGAAGGAAAAGGAGGAGGGAGGAGGAAGGAGAAATGTGGAGTCCCTGATGTCCACAGAGCTTGGTAATTTTCTTGCAGATGTTTCGTGACCCAACTAGGTAGCATCTTCAGTGCCAGAAAGAACTGGGGTTTACTCTCTCTGTTTGTGTACAAGTGGTTTGCCCTGTCAGTGTTGGTCGAGTGTTGGTTTCTTGTGCGATCCTGGGTGCCCTCTGAGCTTGGTGGTTTTCTTGCAGACGTTTCATAACCCAGCTAGGTAACATCATCAGTGGTGGAAGGGAGAGCGCTTGCTCTCTTCATAGTCCCTTGACGGGGTTAGAGGAACTTGGCAGGAGGAACTACCAACTCGGGCAAACCATTAATTACATAGTAATCAAGGAACTATCAAGAGAGGGCAAGCCACGTATATATAAACAGACCACAAACCCCACTCCCCTCTGGAACTGATGATGTTAACTAGTTGGGCCATGAAACGTTTGCAAGAAAACCACCAAGCTTAGAGAGCACCAAGGACTCCCTAGTTATCCCGCTCCCTTCTAGCATTGATGATGTTACCTAGTTGGGTAATGAAACCACCACAAGGAAGCAACCAAGCTCAAAGTGCGCCACAGACCCCACAAATATCCACCTGGCTCACATTTTGTCACAAACAGGGAGTCACTTACTTCCCAGGTAAACGAGTTTGATCTGGCTATCGAAGACTGTTCTAGGAACACTTTGTTCCAAGCCTCTGTTTTCCCATCGACGGCTATCCTCAAATCTCCGCTTGCTGCTCCCAGGATAGCTTTGATCAACTCCTAAAAGCTGAATGCTACAGATGTGTTTTATTCTCTGTTTTCGGTTACGGACTTTTAGAGGGCCAGTGGACAAGCTTGCCTTGCAACTTTTCCACGTGGCAATTCGAAGGATGGTCCAGTGGAACAAGGCTATCGTTTCTGTGTTGTGCATCAAGATAAAAAATAATAATAATATTGGTTTAATCGGTGTTTTTCCCTTTTGACAACTTGAAGATGGGTGGACTTCGACTCCCAGCGTTCTCCAGCCAGCGTGAGTTGAAGCCCACCCATTCTCAAGTTGCCACGGGTGAAAATAACAACTCTGGGTTAACAGGGGCTCCCATAACTTCAAATGTCCACTCGTAGGAGAGGTGACCTGTTGCCTCTCTGCATTTTGCTGTCGTAAGCTTGCCTTTTTCCTCACAACTGCCGCAGTAATTCTGCTGCCCCGTTGCGTCAGATGCACTTCAGTCTGCACACACTGCGAATAAAGATAATGACCTAAGACGGTGCTTACTGCCTCTGTGTGTGAGCTAGTTGTGTCTTTTGTGTCCTCCGAGACGGCTGTTCTGTTGTGATCCGGTATCCGCTGAGTCCATCTCTCTCGCTGCAGCTTATTTCAGGAGAGGGCTTCTGCTTTTACACACAGGTTAAGAGGGATGTGTCCCTGCCTACAGTTAAAAGAGCTAGTTTGGTCGAGTGGTGAAGGCGCCAGGCTAGAAAGGCGCCAGCAGGCTGGGAGTTCTAGTCCCGCCTTAGGCATGAAAGTTGGCTGGGTGACTTTGGGCCAATCACCAGGAGGTTGGGAGTTCTAGTCCCACCTTAGGTATGAAAGCCAGCTGGGTGACTTTAGGCCAATCACCAGGAGGCTGGGAGTTCTAGTCCTGCCTTAGGCATGAAAGCCAGCTGGGACTTTAGGCCAATCACCAGGAGGCTGCGAGTTCTAGTCCTGCCTTAGGCATGAAAGCCAGCTGGGTGACTTTAGGCCAATCACCAGGAGGCTGGGAGTTCTAGTCCCACCTTAGGCATGAAAGCCGGCTGGGTGCTTTCGGGCCAGTCACTGTCTCTCAGTCAGCCCACCTTGCAGGGTTGCTGTTGTGAGGAAAATAGGAAGAGGAAGGTGTGTTGATCTACTTGCCGTTTTAGTTGTAAAAAGAATAAAGATGGAATAAATAACACACAAATGCAGCTCAGCTATCGGATAGGATTTTAAAGGAAAAATAAAAATAAAAGGGAAAATTTCTAACCAAAGGGGGTTTGGGAAGGGTGGAACTAAAGTGGTCTTCCTCCAGGTCAGGGGTAGGCAACCTTGGCTCTTTTATGACTCGTGGACTTCAACTCCCAGAATTCCTGAGCCAGCCAAGGTTGCCTACCCCTGCTCCAGGCGAAGGGGCAGAAATGTACGTGCGACAGTTTACCCCTTAGTCTCAAAGGAGGCTGCAATTAAAAGCTCCGAGACCAGCCGAGACTGGCAACCTATCTTGCTTTCAATCTGGAAATGTGCCCATCATCACTTGGGATGGGATGTGTTGTTGTTTTTTTTGACTTGTGGGTCCTCCTATCTGAGTCCGATGCCGCTGAGCTTTCAGGCAGGGGTCGCTGCACCAAAGCAGCAATGAACAGGAAGACAAAAAACACACAAGATCCGTAAGGTTTAATCTGTCTGCTCGGGAAGACCTACAGATTACAATCAACAGAGAGAGGCAGGGAGAAAGAAAGAAAGAAAGAAGAAAAAAAAAGCAGAGAAGAGACTGAACCAAGTCATAAATGCAAATTTAAACAGGTCGCAGGAAACCACACTGGAACTTCAAAACACTGAGCCTCCGTGGAAGGGGAGCGGAAAAATAACACGGCAAGGTGGAGCAGAGTTCAAACGCACACCGTTCTTTCCGCTTTGCTGAAGATGCACAGGGGGTATTTTAAAGAGACACTCCTGGGGGTGCTTCGCTCCGGAGCCGGCCCCTATGAGAGGGGTGGGGAACCTCCAGCTCCCCCAGTTGTTGTTGAATTCCAGTTCCAAGCAGGTTCCGAGTTCTAATTCTGTGTTCTTCCATAGAGTCCTAGCTGCCAGACTGACCCCAATCGCCCCAAATTTGCACTGACATCTTTTCCTTCATGGTGAGAGCCATCCACCGTCTCCTTTGGGGGGACAAAGAATTTTCAGGGGCTTGTCAGACACCGGGGAGAGACGAGACTTCGGTCCACGCTTCTGGTTATTCCCAAGACTTAGAAATAAAGCCGGCCTTGGGAACAGCAGGCAAGGTTGGCCAAAAGGATTTATTTCCGTTGGAATTTAGCGGGGAGTTTTTCACGGACACGTTTCTGACTGTCCCACCAGGGGTGGATCCGAGGAATAATTACTCGGCCCTTCCAGACAAGGTGAGTTGAGACCATCCCTTCATCAGGGCCTGACAGAATTACTGCTGGTCCAAATGGGGCAGAAGTTCCCCTTTCTTACGATCCCAGGATGGAGAAGAAAGATCAAAAGTCGCTCTTCCTAAATCCTGCTTCTAATTAGGAAGAGATCTCCCTACACACACACACACACACACACACCAAAGAACCCCCAACTGCTATGAGAACCCCCCCCCCCCAAGGTTGTGCCTTGCTACGCCCAGGGTAAAAATTGGTCCAAATATTTAGCACTACAGCTCCCCCTACAATCTCATGCTGATTGGGACGGCGGCGAGTTGAAAACCAAGCCAGACAGAGGACAACTTCCCTTGTGCCAGGATAGGGACCTTATTCTTGTTGGAAAGACACTGGCCGAGCCAGGGAGAGGAGTCAAGCGGGGAACTAGTCTGGAATCTCTACGTAGGCACAAAAGGGCAAAGTCTGACTTTCTTGAATGCTGCTGAAGCTCATCTCGTCTGACCCAGGTGCAAACTGCCAATCTTCCTGTAGTTAAGCCACCAGCAAGTAAGTAGCTAATGGAACCCTTCACCTGTGGATCTCGTTGTTCGTACCTGGCAGTTCCCCAACTCTCCGACCACAAGAGGCAGGAGTCCATCCAAGGTCCTCAGGCCCTCCAGAACAAGATCCACAAACCGGGACCGACGTTAAGGAAAAGGGACACCACAAATCTGACCGACAGCATTCCCAGGGGTGCTCCAGAAAGAGATGGACAAGACGAGGCTTTTTCACAACTAGGCTCTGCTCAGGACACCCACCAGCCCCTTGCTAGCGAAGGAAACCCAAACCCATTGATTCCGAAACGTCAAGGCAGGCAAGTGCGAGACACCAACATCAGAGACAAAAGACATCCATTTCCGAGGCAGGACAAAAATAACAGAGGGTACATGTCGGAATGGGGACGGTGGGGAGGACGCCTCCGGGCCAGATAAGGCCGCTTCCCCTTCCGTCCCGGCCTTTATAAATAATTTTCACATCTAGCTCACAGTGAAGATGCAATTGCTACAGAGACCCTAGCCAGCTGCCCCCATGGGGCAATTTCCGTGGAGTCCGTTGTGGGCAAAAGGGCTCCCTTCTAGTGGCCACAATTGATCACGATGTCGTCGTATTCTTCCTAGGGAGAGAGAGGTCAAAACAGTTGGATGCCTGCAGGACGCTGGGGTGGAAGGGGAGGGGGGGAGGAGAGAAGGAAGAGACCATTGGCTGGGCCAACTCTAGGTCGATCTTACTATATGAGAGGACCAGGCGGAGCCCGAGGGAGGGAAGAGTCAAGCGTGGCATCAGTCTTGAGTCCCTTTGCGCCCACAAGGGGCCTAAGCCCCGCCCACTTTGAATGTCCTTGGCTCTTATCTACTATCAATTTGCTCTGACCAATAATTCCTTCCTTCCTTCGTCTCCCTCCGACTTCCTTCCTTGACTCCTTCCTTTTCTTCCTCTCCCTTGTCTGACTTCTTCCTTCTTTCCTTCCTCCCTCCAACTCCTTCCTTACCTTTCTTCCTCTCCCTTGTCTCACTCCTTCCTCCCTCCCTCAATTCTTTCCTTCCTCTCTCCTTTGTTTGATTCCTTCCTTCCTTCCTTCCTTCCCTCCCTCCCTCCCTTTCGAGTGGCCCGTTCCACACTCTACCTCTCTGTCGCAATCACACTCACCTCGCTGTTACTGTCCACACTTTCCTCGGAATCCCAGTCCGGCTCTTCGGAGCCAAATTCCCGTAAGAGCTGTGGGATCTTTTGGTCGGGCCGGTGCACGGCGCTGTACATGGGCGTGTAGCCCACGTACATGCGTGCCTCGATGTCAGCTCCTGCACGCAAGAGGCATTCCACCACTTCAGGGCTCTGGGACTCCACCGCCAGGTGAAGGGGGCTCCGGCCACAACTTAGCTCCTGCAGAGGAGTTGGGGGGGAGGGGGAGAAAGGTACAGCAACTTGGGGTCACATATAGGGATTCCAGGCTTATCCCTCTTTTAACGCCGCCCCCAGCTTCTGCCCACCGCCTCACCCGACATCCAAGTCAGCTTCCACTGGTCAAAACTGTCTGATGCTTAACACGGGGAGTCCTTGACTTACGACGGGCTGCTTAGCGACCAAAATTACGACAGACCCCCGAAAGATACTTATGACTTGGTCCTCACGTTTTGAAGGCCAACCCACTCCCCACGTAACCACAATTTCGGTCCTTGGCAACTGGCCCGTCTTTACGGCCACTGGCCGCATCCTGCAGTCACGTGACCGTGTTTTACGACTTTTTTTGACAAAGCCCGGTGTTTACTTCCAGATTTTGGTAAAAAATAAATAAATATAGCAAACAATGGGTTTGTTTAATGTCCATGGATTCAGTTAACGACCATGTTGATACGATTGACTGTTGCAAAAAAAAAAAAAGGTCATAATCAGGTCGGTTTGCGTGATGACCTGTTTTATGACCGTCGTGACGTACAACCCTTCCGGGCAGGCTCCATTACAGTCGTAAGCCGAGGACTACCTGTAATTATTTTTTTGACCCGATTGCTCTCCCACCTTTCTACTTGAATTTACAGCTTTTGTTTTTTCCAACCTAATAACCAGGATCATTTTGTTTGCAATGATAGCGAAATTGACTTAGATCTTCTGAGAGTTTATCAGCTCCCAAAAAAACTAACCGGCTTGTTGAGATCCGATCCGGCAGAGATTAAGAGACTGACCATGTCCAAATCTTTCCGCAGAATGGCCACGTGCAAAGGGATGTAACCTGGGGGAGGGAGGGGGGGGGTGGAGGGTGTTTGGGAAACAGACGAACAGAGCAAACAATACACATGAGGTCAACTTGGGCAACAGAACAGAAAAACAACATTATCATTTCCTCTGACCTATAAAACTTTAACTTGCCACACTGGAATTCAAAAGAAAACCCAGTGTACAAAATAAATAACATTTGTTCCCAATTCGGTTCAGTTTCTCCTGCCCAGAATTTGAGTAATCTATGCAAATCCGGCAAGGAGGTAAATTTTTAACCCCAGAGAACGCTAGAAGTAAACAACAGACTTCGAAAAAGGAGAGCAAAAATCAAATTCTGAGAGGGAGGAAAAAAAAGGAAGAGATGCACATTTTGTTAACCCTGAGTCTTCTCCGTTATAAGAGGCCGTAAACGGGACATAATTTTATTCACATCGTTCGTGCGTTTTTAAAATAATTCACTGTTCTGGTGTTTTTATATGTTTTTTTTATAAGAAATTTTATTTATTTTTTTCCATCATAAAAAACAATCATAGGTAAACACAATAACCAGGTGTTTTTATATGTTGATACGTATTTTATACGCTGCTTTTGTGAAGTCCATGCACTAATGCTATATTGGGTTACGCCACATAGGTGGTCCTTGACTTATGACAGTTGACAACAAAATTTCTGGGACGCTTGATAAGTGAAATTTGCCCCATTTTACGACTTTCCTCACCACGGTTGTTAAGTGAATCACTGCAGTTATTAAGTAACAAGGCTGTTCAGTGAATCCGGGATTCCCCCTTGACTTTGCTTGTCAGGAGGTTACAAAAGGGGATCAGGTGACCCCGGGATGCTGCAACCGTCATAAATGCGAGTCAGTTGTCTGAATTTTGATCACGAGACTGGGGGGGTGCTGCAATGATCGTTAAGTGTGACAAACAGTCATAGGTCATTTTTTTTCAGTGCCGTTGTCACTTTGATCAGTCACTAAATGAACTGTGGTAAGTCAAGGACTACTTGCAGAAAATAAACAAACAACAGGACACTAGGTTAGCAGCTCATCAAAACTTGACTAAATTTTATATTTGTGTGAATTTAGAAGGCATGCTGGTGATCTTCTGAACTTCCCCCAGCCATGAGGACTAGAAACTTGTGGTCACAGCTCTCTCTCTCTCTCTGTTTATAAAGAGGATGGTTCTACCTATTTCACAGACGCTGCTTACCATCGTAATTGGTGCAATCCAGCTGGGCCCGGAAACGGTCGCCCTGACCGGGCCTTTGGATGGCAAGCGACGGAGCCAGAAGCTGCTGAGCGCAATCCCGCCATCCTTCCCGGCAGGCCAAGTGCAATGCCGTGTGGCCTCCTTTCTCTTGGACGCACAGTCCAGCTCCTGCCGACACAAGTTTGCCAACAAAGCCGGACGCCCCGAGGATGACGGCAATGTGAAGGGCGGTCTAAAGGAAAGAGAAGGAAAAGCGGAACTTTTAGCCGGAGAGTGTGGCGGCTTTTAGAATAATCATAACATCCATGAAAATTAAAACACACAAACAGCAGCCGAGATACGTAATAATACAGTAATTTAAGGCAGGGTGTGTGTGTGTGTGTGTGTGCAACCTTGGCAACTTGGCAGACTTGTGGACTTCAACCCTCAGAATTCCCCAGCCAGCCACAAGTCTTCAAGTTGCCAAGGCTGGACACCCGTTTTAAGAGAACACCAAAACTATTATTGTTTAGCGGATCGTTGATACCAGGCCTAAAAGGTATCGGATCCGCTCAAAATCTCCAAGTCTCATTCTTTTCTTGACCCTTTGAAATTTAACCAAGGCAAATCCTTTTTTCTCAGGTCTGCCCCAGCAGCCTTGCTATTCTCATTGTAAGCCTTGGGACAGCCCGAGCGAAGCAAAAGTGCCTTATGGTCTCACCTGGCCGAGGTTGTTCTGAATATCCAAGTAATCCGTCCCGTGGGTGTATTGCAGAATAGAATCCAGGAAGGCTTCGTGTTCATGGATCACAGCCAAGTGGAGAGCTCTGGAAAGAGAGGAAAAGAGCAAATGTGGCGATGAAAGGCCGAACTCACGGATGGGGAAACATTCTGCAGTATGGAGAGTCCTGGACTTACAACCATTCGCTTTAATGACTGATCAAAGTTACAACAGCCCTGGAAAAAAGGGACCAATTTTCACACGAATATCGCAGCGTCCCCACATGATCAAAATTCAGATGCTTCGCAACTGGCTCATAGTTATGGTTGCAGTGTTCCTGGGGACATGTGATCCCTTTTCGTGACCCTCTGATAAGCCAAGGGGGAAGCCAGATTCACTTAACAACCATGTGGCTAGAATAGAATAGGAGCTGGGAGGGACCTTGGAGGTCTTCTAATCCAGCCCCCCACTCAAGCAGGAGAACCTATACCATCTCAGAAAAGGGACTATACAGCCTCTTCTTAAAAACCTCCAGGGATGGAGTGCCCACGATTCCCGAAGGCAAGCCAGACCAACTTCACATTTGCACCGATTCACTTAACAACCGTGGCAAGGTAGGTCGTAAAAACGGGGCAAAAGCCCGTCTCGCTCAGCAACGCAAAAATCTAGGGCTCAATGGTGGCCGTAAGCCAAGGACTTACCTGTCCAGGTAGTTAAGTCCTCGACTGACCACCGTAACTGAGCCCGGAATGACGGTTATCAATTGTGCTGGTCATTAAGCAGGACCATCAGGTGAGCCAGCCAACTTTAAATTGAATGTGGTTTCCCCCACCTCCCTCCCACCTGCCCCGGGGGACCCCCCCTCCCCAGCCTGGCCCCTCTGAAGCCCCCCCCAGGGGTACCTACGTGTCTCCATCCTCGGTGACAAAGGCCAGCACGTGGTGCAGCCAAGCCTCGGGGGCCACCTGGCTCTGCAGGTGCACGGCCCCCACGCCCTCCGCCAGGTCGCCCACCCCCTCGTCGCCCCCCAGGGCCGAGTCCAGGCGCCCCTCCTCCTCTTCCTCCTCCAGGCGCTTCTGGGGGGCTCTGGGGTCAAGGGTCACCGGGCAGGCCCCAGGCCCCCCCTCGCCTTCTCCAGGCTCCCCCAGGCCTCCATCCTCCCGCAGCTGCACCAGCTGCCCTTCGCTGAGCGAGCCCAGGCCGCTGTCGCACCAGTCCTCGCCCCCGGCCTCCAGCCGCTTGGGCTCCCGGGGGCCGCCCTGGGCGACGGGCTGCCCCTGCACGGAGGCCATGGCTCGGGACGGGCCTACAGCGGGGCCATCGCGGAGGCCAGGCCGAGCGCCCCGGGGGCCGACGAAGCTCAAGCGGCTCCCCCGGCCGAGGCGGCCATGAAGGGGAATTTCAGCGGCCTGGGGATTCCCCGGACGAGCGTCTTATCAGGCGAAGAGAGGCATGCCGGGAGTTGTAGTGACGCTCCCTGGCCGTCCCCTCTCCCCTCCCCTCCGCGCCTGCGCTTTATCAAAAAGGAAGACGGAGGCGCCATTTTTTGTTCTCGGGGTATGATGGGAAGTGGAGTTCTGCGAGTGAGAGCGCTTGAGTAACATCGGCATCTTTTTTCAGGTTTGGGTGTTTGCCTTCAGAACGTCCCCTCCTTTAGGTCCCTCCGTCGTTTATATTCGCCGCCGTCTAATGTTTTTTTGGCTTTGAGGACGCCCTAACTGGGAAGAACGGCTTCCACTTCGGCGACGTCACATTTCAAGCCGGCGCAAAGCCTGAAGGGAAGTGTGGTTTATTTGTAGTTTCTCTTTCCCCGCCCCCCTCCCTCGTTCTCTAGCTGCGGTTGGGTGAGCCCAAACGGTCCCTTGACGCCCATCGGTGACGTCAGGTGTTGTTTGTTTGGAAGCTGGCTGGCCATTGGCTGCCCTCCCGCGGGGCTTTTCGGGACTTGTAGTTTTCCTCTCAGGGGGCAACGGTTTGTTTGGATTCTCGGCGGAGCAGCGTCGCGACCTTCCATGGACAGCCGGGAAGGTAACGGCGCCGCCGCTGAGGGAACGGTGGGCTGAGGAGGAGGCGGAGGAGGAGGCCCGAGGCCCAGTCTCCCTTTCTTCCTTGTGTTTCCCTTGTCACAGGCGCTGCCGCCAGTCCCCAAGCGGACGCCGAAAAGGCCTCCAGGTCCTCGGTGAGGATTGAGGGGCCGAAATTGGGAGGGCGTCGCTTCAAATCCTCCCCCTCTGGGGCCTTCTCTCCAGGCGGCTCTGCCCCGCAGGCCGAAGGGGGCTCTTCCTCGACCAGGCGGAAACCCAACCGGTGGAGCTTCCTGGGAAAGCGGCTCGAGTCGCAGAAGGAGGACTCTTAAAAAAACCATTTGAAGCGGGGGTGGGGACTTCCAAGCCCATCATCCCCGGCTCAGCTGGGTGGGAGTTGAGGGGGGGGGAAATAATCCTCTGAGCAAAATCCTGCTCCGGTGGCAATTTCCTTTTTTTTTTTTTGTTAGGATTTTACAAAATAGAATAAAATGGCACTAATATAGTGAACTGGCCCATCAGGAGGGGATGCTGGGGATCCTGTCTCCTATACACTAATAAAGGGAGTCCTTGACTTATGACCCACAAGTGAACCCTGGATTTTCGTTGCTAAGTGAAGCCTTTGGTAAGGGAATTTGGCCCCGTGGCGCAATCTTTTCTCCGCAGTTGTTAAGCGAATCACTGCAGTTGTTAAGTGAATAACATTGTTGTGAAGTGACTCTGGCTTCCCCCTTGACTGTCCTTGTCAGAAGGTCACAGAAGGGGATCACGTGACCCCTGGGACACCGCAACCGTCATAAATCCGAGTCAGTTGCCAAGCGTCTGAATTCTGATCACGTGACCACAGGGATGCTGCAAAGGTCGTAAGTGTGAAAAACGGTCGTAAATCACTTTTTTCAGTGCCATTGTAACTGAATGGTCACTAACTGGACTGTGTAAGTCGAGGACTACCTGTAGGTCTTTTATTACAGCCGGCCCTCAAAACTCATGACATACACAAACCTATGACTGTTTAGCCCATTTGAAGCTGGGACACAGGAAAAAGTGACTTACAATCAGTCCTCGCATTTACGACCATCATAGCCACTCCACAAGTCAGGTGATCAAAATTTGACAAGCAGAGTCGATGGGGAAAGCTGGATTTGCTTAGCAACCATGTGATTCACTTAACGACTGCAATGGTTTTGCTTGAGGACTGCAGCAAAAGGTCATAAAGTCAGGTGTGCCTCACTTAACAACCATCTTGCTTAGTTCCAATTGTGGTCGTACATTGAGGACTACATATATAATCAAGTAAAAATACCAGCATCTAAATCAGTAATGCATAAATAATAAACATACATATAAATAAGTTAGAAACACTTGCATTAGTTGTGCAGTTAAACCTGTCATTCAAACTATTGCACATATTGCAGACAAATGACAAAATTTGGCTACACTTGAGAAAGTCACTTGAGGTGATGATTATAAATAAAACTGATGAGAATGACTGGGGAATTGGGTTTAATGTGGAATGGACAGTATAAAATGGTGTTTCTCAGCCTGGGCAGCTTGAAAACCTGTGGACATCAACTCCCAGAATTCCCCAACCAACAGAATTCTGGGAGTTGAAGTCCATATCTTCAAGCTGCCCAGGTTGAAAAACTCTGGTATAAAAGGATATCTCTTGCTGTTTCAGAGGCTCATTCTCCTCTGGGCATAGTTTAAATTCAAATGGAATGCTCTTATAGCTCTTTTGCAAAAATGCTAATGGGAGAACATTCATCCATGCTGGGGCTAGAGGCTTTCTGCATTTGAGGTCGGAAAGCATCTGCAGCTCTGGAAAAAGTGCAGGATCCACTTAAAAATACATCTTTAGGAAAGGATAGAGGGGATTTGGGAAGTTCTGGAATTTCAAAGTACTCTTTCCCCCCCCCCCCTTTTTTTTTTTTTTTTTTTGAGTGCTCAGTTTGAGCCCAGGCAAGATTGGCCACATACGACCTTAATAAATGCAGTTAATATTAAGCAATTCTAAGAAATGACTTCCCTGTTTCCTTTCTTCCTATAGAGTTCAGATTCTGATGAGGAAGGGGGAGCTTCAGGCCAGACAGAAAGTAAGTAACTGTCCAGTGAGAGTTCATGTTTTACTTTAAATATTGTGAATGTATAAATTGAGGCTATCCCTATACTGTATCTCCAAACTATTGCCGTCTTCCTATAGCTAATGAAAAAAATATTTCTAGACGCAGAAACCCCCTGAATTGTGCAATCCAGGATAAGAACTTCTATGTTTGCTGTACAAAATAACTATGTAATCAAGCATTATAATTACATTCTTTGACCTGGAATAAGGTAAGGCTGGCCTTAATCCATTGAGCAAAGACTCATGACTGGCTGGGGAATTCTGGGAGTTGAAGTCCATCCAGCTGAAAGCTACCAAGGTTGAAAAACGCTGCTTTAAGACTTTAGCATTTTTTAATTTGTTTACATAAAAGCATAGAATAGCTTTTCAGCCGCAGGTAGATTTTTCTTCCACGTAAGAGTTTAGCACAATATGCAGAGATCTCATGGGGTCCTTGGTGCTTTCTGAGTTTGGTTATTTTCCTGCAGATGTTTTATGACCCAACTAGGTAACATCATCAGTGCTAGAAGGGAGTAGGGTTTGTGGAGAGGAGGAGGACTGGGGGGGGGTCCTCGTTGCTCTCTGAGCTGGGTGGTTTCCTTGCAGAGGTTTCATTATCACTCTAGGTAACTTCATTAGTGCACTGATGATCTCTTCTATTGGCACAGATCTAGGCTCTTCAAGGCGAATGATAACGTTGCGATTTCTTTTCTTTCTTTGTTACCAGTGGAATTTTTGCGAAACCTCTTTTCCCGGACTCTGGGCTTTGGCAGTGAGAAGCCCGAGAAGGTGCTGGAGGAACTGACGCTGGAAGGCGTGACCAACTTCATACTGACTGAGAAATGTAAAGCGGTTCTTTCTAGACTGAAACATGTTGCTCTTTTCTTTTTTCTACCAGCCTCTGAAGTGAATGAAAAAAAAAGGGGAGGGGGAGAGAGAGAGAGCTTGTGATGCAGGTGGTGGCGTAGATCAAAGAGAGGAGGGAGGTTTGGCACCTGTGTGCTGTAGTTAAATGCTAGTTATCAGTCTATCTGTGCATGCTTACCTGTGGTCATTGATGTTTTTACAGATAGGGACTGCTGTGGACAAAGGTTATTTGCCCAGGGCCATCCAAAGGTGTTTAGTCAGGCTCTTAGCAGAAGGATTTGAACCCCAGCCTCTGAAATTCTGGGGCTTATCACCTCAGTTGCACTGGCTCCAATGGTTGGATGCTTATGCCGAACGTTGATGCTGTTCAGGGTTTGAGGGTGGCATGGTGTAATTCAGGGGTCGATATTAAAAAGCACTTCCTGCCCTTTCTCTTGCAGGCAAGAATATAGTCTGTATGGTTGGTGCAGGGATCTCGACCAGTAAGTGTCACGATGGCTTTGCTGATCATGGGTCGCTTTATTTTTTTTCTTGGTTTTGTGCAGATGTATTGTAGGAGCAGAGCGCGATGCTGGTGGATAAAATTAGAAACTGCCTTTCCATAGTTAGATGTGCTCTTATCCTGCTTCTTTTCTACTAAACCTAGAAAGGTGTGCTCTTATCCTGCCACAGCGGTTTATTTCTTAATTGGGAAATATTGAAAATTGGCCCTGGGTTCTTACACCTACAAAACATTTACTCTTAACTCCTGACCCCACAGTCTCTCCCAGGATGAAGTATCTGGAAAGCTGCATAACAGCCAGGCTTTCCTTGTCAGAAGCTTTGGCTTTAAGTCTCTTTGCTGAAAGTTTATCGATCTCACATCCTTTTTAGCAGCAAGTAATCCTCACCTAGGATTGCTAAGAATACCTTCAGCCAGTTTAGCATTTGAACGTTATCCTGGGACATGTATATTTGCCTTTATTCGTGAGTTTAGCCTTTGTTTACATTAGTAGCCTTGAAACAATCTTGGGTTTCCCGCCATCTTCTCTGCAGTAGAAAGACTGAATGTTAAATATGAAGCATAACTCACCTGGGTAATACCCTCCTTGAGATATGAATCGAATATAAAACCTGAGCTAGAGCCTCGTTTTCTTAGACATGACTGTGAGAAGTAATCGTGGGAGCAGTTGAAACTGGCAGGTGTAGGTCCTGCTTTAAGCTGACAAATTTAGCTCAATTCAGCTCCTTCAGAACTCTTTTCCTGGGAAAGTAGAGAAAAGAATGTTCACAAGAAGCACCCTGCTGAATCAGACTTAATTTCTCCCCCTTGTTGTAAGCTGGGTTTGAAATAATGGAGCCGAGAGTCTCAAGTACAGTGCGGGCGGTCCTCGACTTACAACAGTTCATGTAGTGACCGCTTAGAGTCACAGCAGCACTGAAAAATGTGATTTATGACCGCTTTTCACACGGTTACCACATCTCCACGGTCAGGGGATCAAAGTTAAATTGCTTGGCAACCGACTCACATTTATGACGGTTGCAGTGTTTCAGGGGCCACACGATCCCCTTTTGCGACCTTCTGACAAGCAAAGTCAAAGGTGGAAGCCAGAGTCACTTAACGACCGTATTCTTAGCTTAACAACTGCAGGGATTCACTTAACAGCCGTGGGGGCAAAACTCACTTAACAAATGTCTCGCTTAGCAACATAAATTTTGGACTCAATTGTGGTCATAAGTCAAGGACTACCTGTGTCTGCTTCTTGGCTCAAACTGTATTGATGTACGGTACTATGGTATCAGAATAAGTAATCTGTCTTTTAGTTGGTTTTCTGTTCAGCGGCTTCCAGCTGTCGATGCAATCTCAGCATTTGCCTTTCTGCCTGCCTCTCAGGTGCGGGCATCCCCGATTTCCGCTCACCTGGCACGGGGCTGTATGCCAACCTGCAGCAGTACAATCTACCGTATCCCGAAGCCATCTTTGAGATTGGCTATTTCAAGGTACCACGCTGAGTTACCCGCTTGCTATTTGACGTGGGCTGAATCCCGTGCTGTCTGAGGTTTGTTTTCTTCGGCATCACTGACTCGGTGTCTGTTTTTATTTAGCAAAACCCAGAACCATTCTTCACCTTGGCTCGGGAGCTTTACCCAGGGCAGTTCAAGGTCAGCTGGCTTTTCATGTTTCCGAGGCGGCGGGCAGGGATTTAAACTCAATCCTAAAAGTGCTGTGGTCTTTTGTCACCCCAGGAGAAAAAATGGCTGCTTCAAAGAGTTCCTAACAAGTCCCCCCCCCTTTCACACTCTTGAGAAGCTAGATCTGAAGCCCACCTCTGTTTTTGTCTGCTTCTAGTTTAGAGAGATGCTCAAAATCGGGTCTCTTTAAGAGGTTTTAAGTGGGGGGGGGGGGCTAAAGTTTTAAAGTAGAACCAGAACTATATCCTCTGTGTTTTTCTTAATAATTTTTAATGCTTGGGAAAAGGAGCATTTCTTTATGAGTCTGGTTGTAAACTATTCCATCGCCAAAGTGTATACAATTCCCATACAATAAAACCTACAAAAGAAATACCTTAGTTGCCTCTAAAGTATACGTATTTACGGCAGTTTATTGTTTCATTTAATCGCTGTGGATGTTTTAATTGATAATTTACAATGGACGTTTTGTGTTCTGGTGTGAACTGCCAAAAGTCCCGTAAATTTGGAATGAATTAATAAACATATAAATAAAACCTACCCTTTGGTTTCTTTTGTGTTTTGGAGAAAAGAAAATATGACATTTAAGGCTCTGGTCCTTTTTCAGCCCACTGTCTGTCACTACTTCATTCGTCTCTTGAAGGATAAAGGGCTGCTACTGCGCTGCTACACTCAGGTAAATAAATCCTCTTTCTGGTCTTTGGGGCTGGCACTTTAAAATAAAGCTGTAGTTATATTATTCTGGCCTCCTAAATAAAAAGGGCCATTAGCCTTTTCTCGTTTGGAGAGTCCTAGTCCTGTGTAGCTCCAGGATTGGCAGCCATTTCAGGTTGGATTTATTTTGAACGTCTTGCCTTCCTCCAGAACATCGACACCTTGGAGAGGGTGGCCGGTCTGGATCCCGAACACTTAGTGGAAGCTCACGGCACCTTTTATACCTCCCACTGCATCAGCTCCACTTGCAAGAAGCCCTACAGCCTGGAGTGGATGAAAGGTGAGGGTCAGGAATTGGAAGCAGGGAAGACATTATCGGGGGACTTTCCAGAAGGGATCGAAGGGGTAAAGAAAACTTTAAAAAAATTCCTTTGGAATAACTCGGGGTGATTCCTGCGGCATGATCTTGATATTCAGAGCAGAAGCCATGCTTGTTTCTGAGATGTGTGAATGCTGCTGAGGGGAGAAAACCACAACTTGAGGGATTCCGGTGGTCTGCTTTGGATTGCCTAGTATGGCTGCTGGGTGCAAGACCAAGGTTAAACTGGTTAGAATTAAGGGTTGCGGTCATTCGTATTTATTTATTTATAAAATTGGCCACCCATCTAACCATAGGATAACTCTGGGACAGTTACATCTGAATTAAAACATAAAATGTTAAAATCAAACCTTACAACCCAAGACACATGGGGAGGTGGAATCTGTTATTACTCAATCAACCACCTTCGTTGCCCTGATCCCCCACTGCGGCCCCAATTGGCACAGTCATGTCTTTAGGCCCTTAAGAGAAGATAGAAGGGTTGGGGCCCAACCCCACATCGGGGGGGGGGGGAGATGTCCCAGCAGGCAGGAGCAATGGCTGAGATCATCCTCCTGGATCCTGCCAGCCGGAATAATCGGGTTGACGGGACCCACAGCAGGTCTCATCTGCTGGCACGAGTGGTACGGGCCAATCCCAGTGGGGTGAGACCCTCCCTCAAATAACCTGCACCCAGACCATTTATGCCAGATCACGAATTAGCTACAAACGGCATCGGCTGAGATGCATTGTGCACGGCTCCCTCTTCTTTTTCTTTCAGAAAAAATATTCGGATCTCTCACCCCCCGATGTGAAAAATGTCAGAACATCGTGAAGCCAGGTGAGCATCCCACCCGGTCACCCGTCAAAGCAGCATCCTGGGATCTTTGTGCTTCTTGATCAGGTTTCAGGGAACCCTAACCAAAGATTCTGTTTTGTTTTCCTTGGTTCAGACATCGTGTTTTTTGGGGAGAATCTGCCCCCTCGTTTCTTCACTCTCATGCAGTCGGTAAGTGCCTCAGTCGTTTGTCCTTGGACTCGGAACGCCGGCAGCCCCACATTGGAGGTCTCCCAAGAGTCGGGATTTCTGAGTCCTTATTTTAGGGGTTAAAATTTCCCAGACGAACTGACGTTAGTCCTGTATGCTAATTTATCAGATAGGATAAATTCTTCCCACTTCATCCCTAATTGGTTAGGATGAATAAATCTGGTGAGAGAAAATATGACACAAAAGGAGCTATGTTTTAGGCTACAAACAGAGATAAAGGATGCAACATTCAGCATCCTTGGAGTTATAGGTCAAAGCAATCTATCCAGAGAGCACGATTTCAGAGAAAGAGATTTTGAACCCAGATTAGAACCTGGGGTGCAGTTCTGTGGTGCCCGCCATCCTTCACGCGAACCTTCTGCTTGCAGGATTTCCAGAATGCGGACATGCTTATTATCATGGGCACCTCACTTCAGGTCCAGCCTTTTGCCTCTCTGGTCAGCAGGTCAGTGAACCTGGGCTGCTCAAGCAAGGGCTCGGTTTTCTGAACCGAGATGCCGCAGGCATCATTGCCAAATTGCTCCTCTTCTCTGTTTCTTCCAGGGTACCTGCAAACACACCACGGCTTCTGATCAATAAGGAGAAGACTGGAGAGGTAAGGTTAGGTTTGCAGCCTGCTTGCTTTGGTCTGCTTCAGATTGGAAGCTCCTGGGGGAAAGAGCAGGGGTGGGAGGCTATGGCAGCTTTCCAGGCTGTGGACTTAATAATAATAATAATAATAATAATAATAATAATATTTATTTATTTATTTATTTATATTTAAACTTCTATGCCGCCCTTCTCCCCAGAGGGACTCAGGGCGGCTCACAGCATGTTAAAAAACAACACAAAAAAACATTTCCCCTATAAAACCAATTAAAAAGCAAATATATTAATAGCTGTGTCATATTTAAAATCTTTGAAAATTTTTAAAAATTATTCCCTATTTAAAAT